GGTTTTAACAAGTGTTTTAATTCTCTTTAAAATTGCAATCAATGATTGCCTACAAGTCGTTTAGACTATTACTCTCGCAACGAGGATATGTGTACAATACAATATAGTAAAGAGACTCACTTGGTGTTTCTCTCTTTTCTTTTTTTTCTCTCTTCTTACAACAGTAAACAAATATTACAATGATGCTCGAGAGTATTGCTTGAATTTTTTTTTCTATGCTCAGATATTCTCTTTTTGTTTGAGCTTCTCTATGTTGGTCTTATAAACACTTTTTATAGGATTGATATTTACGTTTTATTCTTTTCTCTTGGGCTATCATCTTGATTCTTTCTTTGAATGATCTTCTATATAAAGGCTCTTTGAAAAGATATTCGTTGGACTGAGCTTTGATTCTTGTGTCTTATCTGTCTTTCGTGTAAAGCATCTGTTGGTTAATTTCAACTTGTCAGAGCATGCCTTCTTTTTCAGTACTTTGCTTGAATTTGGTTGTACTTTCTTTCAAACCACCTAATCTCAACAAGGTCAACTAACTCTTAGTAACGGTTATCTCTCGAAGAAAGCTATAAAAGGAGGACTTGCACAAGAGAATACAAGAACTTTTGCTATAATTGTAACAAAACGTTGTTATTAGAACTCCAAAAGTTCTTAGATATTCTTGTATTGTATTTATCATCTCACTGGGAGTTATCGAAATCTGTACTTGTAAACTAAACTTGACTATGTTTGTGATTTCTAAAGAGAACTAAAACACTTGTACTGTTTAGCTTAAGTGAGTTAAACTTACTAGACAATTGTTTAGGGTTGATACCAAGAGTGGTTAGAATACTTTGGTACCATGAGTGGTTAAACTCAGACTAGTCAAGATTGACTAAAGGACTAGGAGTGGTGAAAATACTCGTTGTATACCATGACTGGTTTGTACTTAGTTGTAACCTTGGATAAGATTAGTGGAACCTCTCAAGAGCTATTGAGGGAGACTGGATGTAGCTCAGGATTGAGTGAACCATTATTTTAAGTAAATTATGTCCAATAACAAATAATGTATGAGTTAAACGCTAATGCTTAAAATTTAATATCCAAACATGTTGAGCCATTGAGCGTTTGACAGAACGAATCATTTGTAAAAACACTAAATGTTATCAAGTGATATATGATTATTTGATATCTCAAATGCATCCCATGCATTGGCACATAAAACGTTAAACGATATAAACTCATAATAGAATGTCTAAACATTATATTGTCTAAACGAAAGATATAATGTCTTAACAAATGATAAAGCGTCTAAACGTTATCTTTGTTAAACGATGTAAAGTAGCTTAGATGGTTGTATGAAACAACTGTTTAAAGATTATATCATCTAAATCTAATACATCAAACACTTTACTTCAAACAATGCTTTTATAAAAATGTTCACATGTGTCAATGTGCTTTGAACGAGCAATGTGCTTTATGATCATCCATGTATAAAACATTTAATGTTGTACGAAAGCGTGCTTCTTTGCTTGTATGCTTTGCTCTCCTTGTGAGTGCAGGTAATTATAACACCAAGTTTTTCTCAGAAGCTCTGCACAAACAATAGAAAGACGTTGAGAGATAGAAAGACCTTCCTAAAATATTTCCTAAAGCTTTTAGCTCTGAAAGTCGTACAAGCTACTTATGAATGAAAGCACTAATAAAGCGCTGTCACTCTACAACGTAGACCTAAGTCTTTATAACTACCTAAAAAGACTATGAAGTCTATATGCAAGTCAACTTTGTGTCCAACGTTCTTCTCTAGAAGAATGTTACATAAAGAGGACTCATAAAAGAGAAGAGTAATGAAGAATATACAATAAGAACAAAAGAGCTATCATTGAATACTTATTTTGTTGCTCCAAGCTTACATCATCTAAAGCCTTTCATTCTATGAGAAATAACTTTACAAGTTCTTAAATTTTGTTGTATTGAATTTATTCTTCCTCTAAGAGTTATTTCAATCTATACTTTTACTTAAAACACTTGTTATGTTTTGTAGATTCAAAAGTGAATTAAAATACTTCGACTATTTAACTCAGTTGAGTTAATTTTTAGATAGTTTGTCTAGGGTGGATACCATGCATGAGAGCCTTCTCTTTTGGAACATGAGTAGGTACAATGCATGGAAGCATTCTCCTTTGAACATGACTAGGTTCCATACATGGGAGCCTTCTCCTCTGAACATACATGGGTAGATTCAATGCATGAGAGCCTTCTCCAAATGCTAAAAGATACCTTAAGCCCCAAGCAAGCCAAAAACGCCTTCAAGTTGTGCCTCCCACTCCAACAAGCTTCATACTTGACGCAAGACAAGCCCATGTTGATGCTAATCAATCTTAAAATGAAAACCTTGGCCCAAATACAAGGTGAAAGAAATATATGTAAATGTTTACAAGGCTTAAGAGAAGGGAAAAAAATAAGCTTGAAACACCATCTCCACAAAAGTAGAAGTCCTTGAATTCCTTCTTCTTCTTCCATTCTCCTAGCCCTGGTTCAAGTTGTAGCTCCCTAATGAATCTCCATCAAGGTCCCTATATCGGTGTTTCCATCTTGACTTTTCCGTTATTATAATCTTCTTTTTGAAAATGTAATTTCCTCCAACTATCTTTTAAATAATCCAATATCTTTAGGGAATGTTTGATTGTAATAGAGATTTAAAAATATTTGAGAAGATCTTTGCTAGAATCAAAAAGATTTGGAAAATATTATCTTTTGATATTTATTGATATAGTTAAATAAGGTAATTATTTAATGATATCAAATAAACTATCTTAAGATATATTTTCGCCAAATATATCTTTTATCATAAACATTTATCAATTATCAAAGCCCTTTTTAGAAAAATAGAGAAAACTCCAAGGTCCAAATTTTGTTGTTCGTTCTCTCTTCATGGCTTAGCCAATTTTCTTCAATTTTTCATGCTTTTCTTGCCTTTTGTATGCAATGCTTGCCTTGCCTTATTGTGGTCTTAATTATTTACTATTTTTAGATTTATCTTTAAGGTGTCATGAAACTTTAACCAATTTATTTTCGCACCTTAATAAGCCCAACTTAGTTGGAGCTGCATTACACACTCAAGCCATGAAACTTTAACCAATTTTTTTCGCACCTCAATGCTTGGCCCAAGTAGGTCACTTTCCTAATTGTGGAGACTCACTCTTATTGTGGAGTCTTTTACTAGTAGGAATAAAAATGAAACTGAAGAAGAGAAAAGAATTTTTGTTATTGTTATAGATTAGCTTTGTTGGTATGAGTGACGCACAACATCGTGGGAGAGCTTGGTCACTAGGGAATTTCAACGAAAAATACGAACTCAATGAAAAATGCAAGAAAATAAATCAAATGGGGAAGAAAGAAAATTTGTCGTTCACTCGATGTTGAGCAGCAACAATGACTCGGGTTTGACGATGTTGGGTGAAGGTGCTCAAGAATAAAGAATGAAGAAGGAAGGAGGAAGGATAGCAAGTTTTGCAAGAACAAAATGCTTAGTGCAAGTGTACAATTTTAGAAAAAATAACCCTAACAGATGTTTAGGCTCTAGCTATTTGTAAAACCGAAACCTAAAGTTTACGCTTCAGTTTTAAAAATAATTGAAGCCCATACCTCTATATCCAAAAATTAAATAAAAAAGTACTAGTGAGACTTTTGAAATTAATTGGAACTTTTACGCACCGATTCTCAATCAATTGAAGCTTAAACGTGCATATGCTTTACTTGTTATTAGAACCAAAGCCTAAATGTTCTCAATAATTTCAAAAATGTCACAGCAATTTAATAGATTCCAGTTTTCTCAAAACCAAGGCATATTGGGCGAAGTTAAATGAGCTTTTTGCAATAATGGCAAGCCACACACATTATAGAACATTGAAGTTGTTGTCAAGATTCTCTCTCCTAAAGTCGCAAGTTTTCTATGTTTGTTGTTGGAATGTTGTGCTCCTTCTTTATAAGTCAAGGAATGGTGGGTTCTTTCATAAATCTATAAATAAAGAGTCTTCTTCCTCAAGAGAAAAACACTACTTCGCACTATCAATCTCTCTCCATTTTCTTTCATTCTCTTTGTTCTTTCTTTTATTATTAAATCTTACGTTACTTATCCTTTTAAGAATTTCTTCTTAATTCTGAAATCCTTAAAGATATCTAAAAAATTCTTGTTGTATGATGGATGATTTACTCAATACACCGTAGATAAATCATAAAGACAACAAATATATATGTCTCACGAAATCTATCTTTTTTATATCTTCATTAGATTTTACAATAAATTCTAGGTATATCTGGCATAATTTTTTTTTACTTTATTATAAAATTGTCACAATTCTCATTTTCTATGCTAGTTCTAATAATAACCTATATAAAAAGTTTCATATTTACAATTCTATTACTACTTAACTTATTCTAGGAAGTAGATTATAACTATTGTAATGAGTCATAAAATCAAATTTTGGAGTGGTGTGTCCATCTATCATCACCTTTTTTTTTCTATTGTATTTTTCCTTCAGATATGCTTCTCTAAACAAGATATCAGGATCAAAATAAGAAAACAACTCCGTAAAGCACTTGGGAACTCAATACCTATCTTCGTCCGTAAAATATCAAACCACTTAACAAGAGCATAACAAATAGAGAATAGGAAAATCGCTCTTTTTCTACGTTGTGCCCGTGGACGATGCTTGCTAGAATTTCTAGCAGCGCGTGACCATTAGAAAGTTAGTACTAGCAGTAATGGCAGTGCCACTTCTTCGTTGTACCAATGAACTCTACCAGACATTTCATCGTGCATGCACGTTCATAATTTATCCATTTCCTTTGGACTGTGGCTTTGACGTCAACTAAAGAAATTTGGAATAATTCTGACTCATACTAGTTAAATAACAATTCCAAGAAAAAAAAAATACTCTTCTATTTTGTCCATTAATTTATTTTTCATTTGCATATAAATAACCGGAACCTCACCACATAAATGTCACAAGAAATATAAGCTATGGAGTCCTTGTTACATAGAAAACATACTCAAGCCATGACTTGTAGAGTTGTCGTAATCTACTTCAGTTTCCTTTTTTTCCTTGCTACCTTCGTTCCACTTGTTCATATGCTTCCCTATGATAGAAACAAGCTTGACATCAATTTCTACGATAGATCATGCCCTAATTTGCTTATGATTGTTAGATATGGTGTTTGGTCAGCCTTGAAAGATGACAGCAGAATGGCCGCGTCCCTTCTTCGGTTACACTTTCACGATTGCATAGTAAATGTAAATACTTGTGTGCTTTATTGTCTCATTGCTTTTGTTTCTTACACTTTAAAATGAACACATACGTACTTAGTGTTGCTTGAGGAAGATTCATAAATAGTTTATAATTTTCATGATAGACTAGAAGCATGCTGCTAAATGATTGAAACTGGAAATATTCTTGTTGAATGTGTGTTATAATTGGTTCTCATCCACAAAAGATATTCAGCACTTGCTAGTTTCTACCTTCCCAGTTCCTGTTTGTTTTAGAAACTCTGGCTAGGTTGACACTTCCTTAATTTTCCTTAACATGGGTAGCTGAAGTATATATATATTTACTCTATGTTTAGAATTTTATTTTGGTGGAGTCTCTGTCACAGTTTTTTCAACAAGCATGTATTTGTGACTGTCGTCTTCGTTAGTTTTTGTGTTTGGTTTGACACCTTTCATTGTTCTACTATGACACCAAAATTCCTTTGATTCTTCCCCTCCTTGTGTTTTATCACTGCCTTGTTTTTAACCTGTTTTTTACATACAGCTGATGCCAAGTATGATTACCACCAATAAAGCATAAAACGTGTTCCTACCTTCAATGAAAGACTAGGGTGGTTATTAGGTGTAATCTCATCTCCATTTAGGGCAACCAATAAATTAAGGATGAAAAAAAAATGTCGGTGATTCCAATTTGTCTAATAAATTATAATATAAATCAGATAAATTTTTCTTATAAAAATAATTTTATGATATTAAATTATACTTGATTGTTTTAAAATATTAAAATTATTTAAAATATATTTTAGTCCAGTTTTTTTATATATTACTTTTCAATATTTTCTAAGGTTCAGTTTTATTATCTAATATTTTGTAAATTAAAAAATTAAGTTTCGAGTGAAGATTAATGATGACCATGGCTATAAAGAAGTTCAAGATGATATAATAATTTTTTTTCAATAATATTTAAGAAATGGACAAGAGGTCAAAAAAAGTGATGGCTAAGGAAACAATGATAGAAATTGTTTCACTAATCTTTACACTGTATGTTATTTTTCATTACAAATTAATATATCACCTGACAATTGGTGGAGATTACTTATCTCGAACCATGAAACAATTTTTAGAAAAATAGAAATTAATACATTATATTTAAATTAAATGATGATATAAATAATTTATATGATTGTAATAGTAACATTTGAATTGATTGCGAAAGGGTTGTGATGCTTCGGTGCTTCTTGATGATACACCATATTTCACTGGTGAAAAGAATGCTCTTCCTAATCACAATTCACTTCGGGGGTTCGAAGTCATTGATGACATAAAACAACATGTTGAAAGACTGTGTCCATACACAGTCTCCTGCGCTGATATATTAGCATTAGCAGCCAGGGAAGCTATTGATATGGTAAAACTCACACTTCTTTTATCTTATTGGACAAGACATTCTAAACCAGAAAACATTTTTTATGTAACTCGTTGCTGTTTTTCTTCCCCTATTGGTTTAGGTTGGAGGACCTTCTTGGCCTGTTTCATTAGGCCGAAGAGATGCAACAACAACAAGTAAGGAGGCAGCTGAGCAACAACTTCCCTCTCCGATTGAGTCTCTAGAAAACATCACTGCAAAGTTTTACTCCAAGGGTCTTGACTTGAGGGATGTTGTAGCCCTTTCAGGTTCTGACATTTTCTCATTTTATTGTCAAGTAAAAACATGGATGGAAGGTTTTCTGCATGAATATATAGCTTCATGTGTTTATTTCCATGATCAGGAGGACATACAATTGGTTTTGCTCAATGCTTCACCTTCAAAGGGAGACTTTTTGACTATCAAGGCTCTGGTAGACCTGATCCCGTGCTTGACTCTTCGCTTCTCACAAGATTGCAAAGCATGTGCCCAAATGAAGAGACTTCGAACAGCAATCTAGCACCTCTTGATGCTACAAGCACCTCCACGTTCGACAATGAGTACTATAGAAATCTCATATACAACACAGGCCTTCTACAGTCTGATCAAGCACTAACTAGGGATCGAAGAACTGCTGCTATGGTTTACTATTACAGCAACAACCGTTTCTCCTTCTACAATGATTTTGCCCAATCCATGGTGAGGCTTAGTAATGCAGGCGTTCTTACAGGAAGAATGGGAGAAATTAGACAGAAATGTGGCTCTGTAAACTAAGTGCTTGTGTTCTCAACATCTTAGAAAACCTTAACAGTGCAACTCAGTTGGAGTCTGTATATATATAAAGTCCATCATCACTGTAGGTGGTGGCAGTATCCCAGAATAATGCATACCATGTTACCTTTCATGTCAAGATCACTCAGTGGAAATAAGAAACCTAGGTGCCAAAGCTAAAAATTAACTGCAATATGCAGTCTCATGCAGCAGTAACAAATCACAAAGCCTTTAGCTTGTTATGGGTGTATATTTGCTAAGTTTGTAGATTACTACACAAGTGTAAATTTGAAATAAATCAATATACATTGCCTATTTTATAAAGAAGGGTTGTGCGTAAGATACTTAGATCTTGGATGTCCTTAATTCTTCTCGAGGTCAATTTCTAATTAACATCTCCGAAGGATTAATCACAGATCAAAATAAGGGTTGTACTATTGTTATGTGAGCATCTAAACGCCTTTGTCGTAACAGAACAATAAATCTAGACGCGACAAAAATATTGGTATGAATAAAACTATTGTGGAGTGGACGTAGTAGTCTCAATTCTTTTTCATTCTTAAATTATGTATTGCGCATGCATCTCTTAATTTTAGCCAGGTCTCTTTCGTCTGATGCAGATTTGCAATATAAGCATGGGAAACATCTTTTTATTTACGTGTTAAAACTGATCTTGTGCTTTACAAATTCAATTTAATATGATATTTATTGCACTACACCCGATACTCCCATATAACTTGGATTGAGACCAATGACAGATTAAATATTTTATTTTTCACCACTTCAAAGCACGCTGACAAAACTCTAAACTCGAAAATGGACAATCCTTCGTACTCATTTTTTTTTTCTGATTTAGATTAGCCTGAGATAATATTTTAGAACATATAGAACCTTAAAACGCGAACAAACTATTTTCATGAAAAAAATATACATGAAATTTTGTAATATCTCCTTAAATCTAGTCTTAATCCTTATAATCTTTTCAATGTGAAATATTGTTTTCCGTAAAAAAAAATTACACATTTGATTCTGCAATTTTCTAAAATTGAGTAATTTCATTTTAACTATCTATTTATTAGCGAGAGAAAAACAACGAAATGTCCATTGTTAATAATAATATAATAATCATAATATTATAAGTTATTAATAACACGTCAACATGTTTTTGTTAATATATTAGATTAATTTTGTACTGCAATTATTAAGTTTTAAAAATCCTAGAGAACCAAATGTATATTATAAAATTTTTATTAGGAATATTTTGTCTAATAGATAAAAGTACTAGTGATTTTTTTAGTGCTAATAAAGTAGAAAAATTTGGTCATTATTTTTATGCAAGAAGAAAGTTTTTGTTCAACAATAAAATTTGTATTTCGTTTGTCATATGATATCATATTGTGTTATTTCATTTTGTCTCATAAGCAATACATTTACTTAAACATATACATAGTTAAGAGGTTCCATGAGATAAACTTCCTCTCCACTAGATTTTTCTATATAATCATTATCACTCTCACTAGACTTGGACTCTTCCTCACTACTATAGAGATTAATGTCTTTCATGATAATGATTTTTTATGTGGGGCATAGAACAGCTACATGCCCCTCTTCTTAGACACTTAGTGTAACATCCCACGTAGAATGAGACGTGTAAAAGAAAATAAAACTTTCTCGATGCAATTTTATATAAAATCATTCTCTTCGTATACTCAAAATTCATTATTAATTTATCAACACGAAAGCAGAAACACAAACTCAAACGATGTCCTTACAACGTGAAAACTCAAATCATGTTCTCTACAAAAACACCAATATGAAAAGAAAATTAAATATCAAAATAAACAAAAATCCCAGAAGTAACTATTTTCCCTTCTCTCGTCAAGCTACTGTAATGCAGCCTCATTTGCAACACCATCTACTCCCATATAAGTACGATCATCCTAGGTGAAAACCACAACCACAACATGCAAGGATGAACAACTAGAAATAACATTATAGCATATAACACAATATAACAACATTAACACAAACTATAGCAAGTCATAGTATCATACTACAGTAATAATATCATAACTAAATCACTCATATAAACCTATGTTGTTTCCTTGCACTTCGTCATACCAACTTGTTTCGCAAAACAGACTAATTTGAGTCATCCTCCACTATGACTTCAGACCTATCTACCTGACTCCTTAAGGACTCATGAGTAAAACCACTGACACTACATGCACTGGTGTACTATACTCAACACGAGTTAAAGCCATTGGACGAGACATTCAACCTTTTCATTTCTCTCTTGGACACCCACTTTGGCTGTTGTTGAAGGTAGGTTAGGGTTCTCATTTTCTCACACGACCACTATGCATAATCCCATCCTATGTTTACCCTAAATACAACCTAAAAACATCTTCACTCTACACTCAAAATTGACCCAAAATTACCCTTCAATCTGCTCAAGATATCCACCACAATAATAAACCCAAAGTTCCTTTCTTATCCCAATCTTCCTTACTACAAAAGTTATTAATATTACCGGATATATATTCATCGGTAAATTTTCATTACCAACGGATTTATCGACAGATTTTGAATTTTTTTACCAACGAAAAATTCGTCGAAAAATCCATCAATAATGTGTATGTCACTTACCTATGGAAAAATCTGGCAGTAAATTCGTAGGTAATGCGTATGCCACCTATCGAAGGAAAAATCCGTCGATAAATTCGTAGGTAATGCGTATGTCATTTACCGACGGAAAAATCTATCGGTAAATTCATCGGTAATGGAACAGTAAAATGAGCGGTAAATTTCCCGCCCATTTTTCACTTACCGACGACATTTTCGACGAAAGAATCTGTCGGTAAATTAAATACACATTATCGACAGATTAATTTGTCAGTTAATAAAGTGGGAAATTGCCTGCCCATTTTTTCTCCCTCTTCGCAAACCACTCAGTATTTTACTCTCTCACGCGAGTAAAGTGAGGGAAACCCCATATTTCCTCTTCTCCTTCTTCTTACTCTTTCTGTTCTTCTTCTTTCTCTTCCCTTTGCTCCTATGCTATGAGCCAATACCACCATCTCTTCTTTCTCTTCGCAAGTGGTAAGCTGTTAGTAAGCACCTCCAAGAGCAGCAGAAGCCATTGTAAGAAACCTGCAACAACCACTAACAAATGCCCTTTGCAGCATCAAGCGCGACCCAACCGTCATCTCAAGTCTTCTCTAAACATCGTGCCACCGAAAGCTTCCATGGAAACCTGCAGTAAACAAAGATCCTCTGCATCTTTGATTGTAAACGGAGAAAACTAAAATCCTGACATGTGCTAGGACTTGATGTTCTCTCTTAGGTGCTTATTGTGTTAAAAATGGTTACTGTGTAGTATTTATCGACGATGAAAAAAACCCCTAAAGTTGAATCTGAAAAAACCCTAAAAGAAGAAGAAGAAGCAGAGCGGGGAAGAAGAAGAAGCAAATTGCGATATTTTACCCACGAATTTTTCTGTCGGTAATTATCGACGGAACAAAAAGTCCGTCAGTAAAATTACTGACAACAATTTTACCGACAGACTTTTGGTTACCAGAAATGTCTTAGGTTACTGATTTTACCATGAACAAAAAGTCCGTTTGTAAATAACAAGTCTTACTTTGCCAGAATTGCCTTAGGTTACTGATTTTATCCCCTTTAAATCAAAATCACCTTAGAAGCCAAAAGGTGTGACTCTATTCAAGCACAACACAAACAAGAGAACCAAAAGAAAAGACTAGAACACTTATTTCGAACCCCTACTTGTGATAAGGCTTAGAGTTTAATACCTTTTAGCTTGTGTCTTTACACGAACAAGTAAATTTGCAATTAAAATTGAAGCTTCTAGGCTTAGGCTTGAAACTTTTGTTTCAAGACACACTCAACGTCTAAGATTCAATTTTAAGAAATGCAAATTACAATTAAATGAATCAAGTGAAGGAAGAACACCGAGGATTCTTCTCAACACTTGACTTGAAAGGCCTTTGTTACAAGAAAAATGATTTAAAATAGAAAACAATAAAGGTTGCAACTCTGGATTCTCTCGGCCAAGGAAGGTTGTATTGATGGCAGCCACACAAAAGTCACAGTTGTTGGGTGTGGTTAGGATTTCAACTCATACACTGCTTACAAACTTGCTTATAGGCCATCAATTTTTTGGGCAGCACACATGGTTACTGTAGCCACCAAAACGTAGAGACTCAAACACTTATAACGCTACCTTAGCTTTGGATACTCATAAGTAATCAAAACTGCACCATCACAGAAGTGATTACCAGGCAAAAACTCAAACAAAATGAACCACAATCCAGTTTCACCGAGAATAGGAAACAAGGCTGAACAAAGTTTTCTCTTAGACAAAACTAGAGGTTCAATAAAGATAAGCAAGCAAATAGGGTTGATTAACTTCGAGTCCTTATTTGATTAATTGAGTCAATTGGTAGGTGCCCTGACCTTAAAATAACTATTTTTTTAATCAAGTACTAAGAAGGGAATACCAAATTGACCATTTGAAAAGGTTCCATTTTCACAAGATCAATAAATTTGCATATCTTGATATCTAATATAATGTCGAGCGATGGCATGCATCATACGATCATTGCCGATTAACATCGTTTGCTCACATATAATGCTTTATACGATCATCGCCGATAATATCATTCACAAACTGATGAATGCATATTTATGCCCGTATTTATGCTTTAAAATTTAAAATTTTGATGAGAGTCTTGTGCTTAAAGAATTGATTTAAAGTGAATTTGTGACGATTAGATTTATTAGGTTTGAGAATTAAAGAGACGTAAAAAGTGATTTTTAGTGAATAAATGATTTTTGTATGTTATAATGTTTGTTGATGCAGCTAAAGTTAACATTTGAATGATTAAAAAGGTGAAATTTAAATGTCCAATATACAAAATAGATCCTCATTGGATGTTAAACTCTTATCAAAGTTGGTCCAATCTGGTCAACTCAGGACACACACAATTTTGAAAAGAAAGAAAATGCTAAAGTGCAATTAGAGGAAATTTCTAGACTTTTGTGTAATTTTGAATAAAATAAAAAGGGTTGAAATGTAATTTTGGGCAAGTTTAAATCTATTATATATTTTAAAAGATAATTTGGAGAAAATATATCTTAAAATATTTTATTTGATATTGTTAAATAATTATCTTCTTTAACTATATCAATAAATCTCAACAGATATTATTTGCCAAATCTTTTTTAATCTAGAAAAGAGATTATCAAATATTCTCAAAAACTGATTAAATTTGTTGAATATTTGAAAGATATTAGAT